AAAAAAAAAAAAAAAAAAGAAAGAAAAAAACTTGGGGGAGAGATAAGGTCTGGAAAACAATCTGGAATTGCCAGGCTGTTGGTGGGAGCTCTGCGGGGCTGGCGTCAGGAAGTCTGCGCCGCCTCTCTGACTGTTGATCCAGCTTTGTGCAGCTGCACTCAGCACAATTAGCTTGTAGAAACAATCCTGCTGTAGGCAGCCTCTTCCCTTCAAAGTGCTTTTCTATACTGATCCCCTCACATCACGACGCTGGAAATCAAGTCACAAGCCGACCACTGTTTGGCCAACATCATCTGTGGGAATTCATTAACCTCCATCCCAGAGATGCAACAAGAGATTGTTTGTCCAGAACTAAACTTACAGCTTAATATGATGTAGCCCATACAGGAAAAAACCTGTGTCCCCCTTTTTTTTTTTTTTTTTTTTTTTTTTTTTTTTTTTTTTTTTTTTTTTGTGCATAACAAGAAACACATTGTGCAGCTCTTTTCTCTCTCTTTTTTTTTTTTTCTTCAGGGGGTGGAGAGTGGAGCAGGAACCAAGCGTGAGCCGGCTCCTGCTAAAACTTTGCCATCGCGCTGCTTTTTGGTTCGTCGGGCTGCAGTTTCCATAGAAGCAACTTATCCCCGCGATCATCTTGTTGGGTGCACTTTGCAAGCTCATTTCCCGTCTGAGTTTGCTCCGCTGCTCTCAGATGCTGCAGCTGACACATTTCCTCCCCGTGCACTTTGCACCCACCTCATCCTTGCCCAGATGCTCGGGGCTGATTGTGCCTAAAAGGGGGTTTCATTGCTCTCTGCAGCTGCCTCGGGGGAAGGGAGTATTATTTTTTTGAATTCTGCTTTTCCCCTTCTCCAGCACCACGCAGGCGGCAGGCCTTCCTCACTGCCCTGTCCCAGCCTTGGCGCAAGGAAGCAGCCCCTGCCACGTGCCCATCTTGTGCGAGTGCTGCCAGTGACTGTGGGGCCCTGTCAGTGTGGCAGCCCTGGGGAGCAGCAGTGGAGACCTCTCCTTGCTCCCGACGTTACTCCTGGATGCTCTGCCGGAGTGCAGAGCCCCTGGGATCTCGTTGGCAGCATCCTGCTCCCCATCACCACTGCCTGGAACCTCAATTGGCCAGATGGTGCTCATTGCTTCCATTCTGAACTTCCTGCCGTGTCCCAAGGATGGCTGTCCCTTTCATCCTTGCTTCTGAAATGTTCCTTCGTCCATGGGTGTGTTCTCCTGCCCCCTCGAGCCTCCTCTTGTAGATCCTGCATCCCTAATTCTCACTAGTACCACTGCTTCCCCAAATCCTGCTTTGCTACAGCAGGGCTGGGCAACCCCCAGAACACGGTCGCACCTTTGCTGGGTCCCTTTTCCAAACTCCATTCTCTTCTGTGCCTTCTTTGCAGATGCCATGGATCTGCTCCAGCAAGACCTCTTTTCCCTCCCCCCACTATACTTCTGGATAACATTGCTTTTGTATGGCAGTGTTTGCCTTCATCTGCACTTCTGCACATTCCTCATCTGTTGCTGTTGTATTCCCGAGCTTGGAGGCTTGCAAGGTATTGTTCTGAAACATGCGTGTTTGGCCATTTCTTCCTTGACATCTGTATTTTGGGCCACCAACACTGGGCTATAGGATGGATGGGTCTCTGTTCTGACTGAGCTTTGACGTGCTTATTGCTTTATGGTCACACTCCCAGCTCTGCAGGAATGCCTTTTTACTCAAACCGTATTTTCTAGCACCACCCTGTGAAAAAGAACAGTGTTGTTTTGCAGTCACGAAGTCCAAGTTCAGACACTTCAGTTTTGATGTTTCTTCTGTCATGTAGGGTTTCTCATCTCTGTAGCAGGACCAGTGCCCCCAAGGCATTTCTGTGTAAACTCCACCTGCAAAGGGCTATTGCTGAGCTGATGCTACTTGAAGAATGTTGCCATGAAATCCATTTGAAAGCAACAGCTCTCTGGCACAGTAAGTGTTACTGGTGGAAGGTGTGTTAAATCTGACTATTAACTCTTGCCTATTTACCCCAAAGCAACTTTTTTTTTTTTTTTTTTTAATCTCTAACTACGGGATAATCCCCACTAACTTCATGTCTGTGTTTTAGTTAAGTGTCTCTAGGAATGCTTGTAGCAAACCAGTTGGGTTGCTCTGTGAGTTCTGTGATTGTGCTAAAAGTGAGGATCAAACAATTCCCTTCTTATGTAGGAGATGGTCTTTACTTACCCTGGCATGCCTAGTGATACTTTTAAATTAATATTTAAATTAGTAAATGTTGCAAATTTTACACCCCTCCGCAATTCTCTGCAAGATCCTCTTGGGATGGAAAGGAGAGGGTCCTGAGGTTACTGACAGCACCTCACCTGCACTGAGGAACAAACCAAGCTTTAAAGATGGCCTTGTGCTTTTGTTAGTTACCTGCCTGGCTGCTCCAGCTCCCTCAGCCTCTCTGTTTGGCCTGACTTTGGTTTTCAGGTACAGACCTGTGTGAATAAGGTCACAAAATGCTTGGCTCCATTTCACTGGATAAAGGAAGGATTGGAAACTGCGTTGGTCAGTGAAGACTTTAATACCTGTTCCAGGTCGGGTACCCACCACCACTGCCTTACAACTTAAATCTTAGGATAATTATGAGGATAGATGCTTCTGTATAGAACACTCTGTGCATTTGTTGTTACTCAGTAGTAATAATGTTTCATGAACACAGGGGAGGAATGAAGGCTGCACTGCAACTGTTGGTGAATCTATTATCCTGCCTTCCTTTACAGCACTGCACCTACAGGTTGAAAAGCTCTGTAATATGGAGTAAGCAGTACTGATTCAGTAGTTTACTGAAGCTACTGTTGTTGGTTCTGTTAGGACAAGATCCACAGTGCTTTTTAGCTAATGCATACAGCGAAATGTTTTACAGTCTGGGAAGGCTCATTCCGCTCAGGTTTGGATACTGGAAATGCAACTCAACCAAATGTGTGCAGCGAGTCCCAAATGCACCCTCTGAAGTCCCACTGAACCACGTGAGTTCTGAAGTTTCTTAGGCTGTAAAAACTTTGCTTCTCTGTGGACCCAGAATCAGTGTTATCTAGGTTAAGCTGACTTTCTTAGCCACTGTCTGCTGCATTAACCCATCTGGGAATCACAAAATAGGTACTTGTCTAAGTCTCTTGAGAATCCTGGTCCAGGAGGTGTGCTCAGATCATGCTTAAATGCACATTGACAGCGTGGAGCTTAGCACAAAGCACAGCAGCTGTAGCTGCTGGAAAGTTTAAGGGGGAGAGAAGGAAAAGAACTGCTTCGCTTTTATAAATCGTTTTTCTCGTGAGAGCACTTGCCCTGGAAGTGAGAGAGTGAATACTCTCCTCATTAGAGAGGTGTTACGAACTCCCTCCCGCTTGCAAAGCACCCCCAACGACCGAAGATAAGGCTGAGGTGGAGGATACCCACCCATCCTGTTGAAGCTTGCCGCTGTAAAGAAAAGGATGCAAATTTCAAAGGGCCAGAGGGATTACAAACAAGAGGGAGCCTGTCACTGTAGCTCTGGGGCAAAGGCATCTCCTGGATAGCAAGAAGCTTGAATGCCAGGCCTGGCCTGGCAGACTCACCCATTTTTGAGGGTGAGGTTCATCTCACCTTATCTTATTTACTTAGAAGTTTACTGTTCTTGTCTCTCCTCAGTCAGTGAGAAGAGAGAACAAGAGACACCTGCACAGAATGATTCATTCTGTGCCTGTTCAACACTGCTCTGGATGGAACAAATCTCCTTGCTGGGTGTTGTCTCTCTCCATCAATTCTCAACAGAAGTTAGACAACCAGTTCTGAGCAGAAGCCCAATTTACGGGTGCCACGTGAGATGAATTCTACCGTAGATGACTAATTTTTCTCATTCATCATACCTGCTTTTGGCCTGTAGAAGTTGGGCTTGTAACAAAGTTAGTCACTTTAGTTCTGTCTTTGTACAACGGCGATTCCCTCCCCTCGCAATCTGGAGACTGATAGCTGAGGTGAATTGACCTTGGATGATGTTTATCTTTGTCTGAGCCCTGCAAACTCCTCATGAACACGTGTGCTCCTCCTTTGCACTTGCTGGGCTGTCTGAAAATGGAATGTGGAACTATTAAATGACATTGTGCAAACTTATTTTGTGGATGGTCTGAGTGGCTGGAGAGACTCTACCATTTTAATTTGAGAGCTGCCAGTTTCATAAAAATATGCATTAAAATATAGGAAGATAGAGTCTTCAACTAGGACTTTCAAAAAAATGAAAGGCTGCTTATTTAAATCAATGGAGATCGGGTACTCTGGAAAGTACCACTAAGCTTATGTTGCATTTTAGGCACTTTCATCCAGAAAAATCTGTCTCTGACTTCTAAAACTGAAGATTGGGTGCCCTTAAAAATGCTACCTTTAATCCTATCCCTGAAGAGGCAAGTATGTAATTTTCAGTTTCAAAAAACTATAGTTTTTCATTTTTCATGACGTGGATTGGTGCTGAGGTGTGTAACAAGATAACTCCCCAGTATGTACCTCATTGTTTCATCAGAGATCAGCAAAAGGTCACCCAACTTTTTTATCAGATTTCAATTGCGTGCGTTTTTGTGCTGCTCTTCAGTTTGGTGCACGTACAGCCTGTGCAAAAGGATGAATGCAGAAAAAGGCAAGCTCTGTGTTTTTATGATTTAATATTTGTCAGAGGCCATCTAAAGGTTATGTCCAGCCATTTTCAAAGTTTAGATTGCAGAGGCAATAGTGTCCAGCTTGGCAAAATGAAAGTCGTATGTTCTGATGGGTGTTTAGCTGCAAACATAGCTGGAGACGATTCCACCACATTGTTCATGTCAGTCACTGTGTAGTCCTGAGTGCCTTCAAGTACTACGAGACACAAGCTTGAGCAACTTTTTTTTCTTATCAAAATACTGAAATTATGTGTGTATGCAAGATGTTTAAATTTGGCAACAGAAAAATAATTGGGAATGGGCTCAAAATTAAATTACTTAAGGCCTCAAGCTATTGTTTCTAGCAGAGACAAGAGGTCTGACAACATTAGAAGGATATGCAAACTTTTGAGAGTATTTTGGGCCAGAACAGAACAGCTGATTTATGCCTCGCTGAGGATCTCAGTTATTCTTGTTTGGATCTGGATCAGAATTTGGATTTTTTTTTTAAATTTCTTAATTTCCTGCTGTATCACTGTGCTTTCTTTTCAGCCCAGTAGCATAACTTCTGAGCTTTTGTGCTCTTTGTTCTCTTTCACAGCCCTACAGGTCTATTGATTCTGGAGGTGAGATTGATCTCACTTGATGTAAAGCATACATCTGGTAGATACCTATAACTAATCCTTTCTCTCAAGACTCTGTCTACTGACCACCGATAAAATCATTGCTTTTGCAGTGACTTTCACTCTAATCACAGAATCATAGAATCACAGAATCACTGCCATTGAAAAAGACCTCCAAGATCATCCAGTCCCACGTCCACCTACCACCAATATTTCCCACTAAACCACGTTCCCCAGCACATCTGAACGTTTCTTGAACACCTCCAGGGATGGTGTCTCAACCACCTCCCTGTCAGCCCGATCCAGTGCCTGACCAATCCTTTGGAGAAGAAATTTTTCCTAATGTCCAACCTGAATCTCCCAACTTGAGGCCGTCCCCTCTCATCCTACTGCTAGTTGTGCAGGAGTAGAGGCCAACCCTCACGTTGCCACAGCCTCCTTTCAGACAGTTGTAGAGCGCTGTAAGGTCTCCCCCGAGTCTCCTCTCCTCCAGACTACACAATCCCAGTCCCCTTACCCACTCCTCATTAGCCTCTCCAGACCCCTCACGGTTCTGTTGCCCTTCTTTGGACACGCTCCAGGGCTTTGATGTCTTTGTTGCAGCGAGGGACCCAAAACTGCACACAGTACTTGAGGTGTGGCCACAGCAGAGCTGAGTATGGGAAGACGATGACTTCCCTGCTCCTGCTGGCAGCACTGTTTCTTATACAAGCCAGGATGGCATTGGCTGCCTGGGCACACTGCTGGCTCATGTTCAGCCGAGTCTCCTGGACTCCCAGGTCCATTTCTTCTGCTCAGTTTTGTAGTACCTTTGTCCCAAGCCTGCAGCGCTACCTGGGGTTGTTGCGACCAAAGCGCAGGACCTGGCACTTGATCTTGTTGAACTTCATCCCACTGACCTCAGCCCAGTGGTCCAGGAGCCTGGGCTGGATCCCTCTGTAGGGCCTTCCTCCCCTCGGGCAGATCAACACTTCCTCCCAGCTTGGTGTCACCTGCAGACTTACTGAGGGTGCACTCAATCCACTCATCCAAGACATCAAGGAAGATACCAAACAGGACAGGCCCCAGCACCGACCCCTGGGGAGCATTACTCACGATCTGTGGCCCAGCCCTCCAGCCTGTTCTTTACCCAGCGAAGCGTGTACCTCACCAAGCCGTGGGCTGCCAGCTTCTCCAGGAGAATACTGTGGGAGACAGTATCAAAAACTATGCTGAAGCCTAGGTAAGATCATGTTGATATAATATAGCTAATCACAGAATCACCAACTTTGGAAAAGACCTCCAAGATCATCTGTTCCAACTATCCACCAGTATTTCCTGACTGAACCGTACAGATGGGCTGTGCCAGGGTTGGTTCTCAGACTTTCTAGATAACTGAAAATTCTGTTTTTCTTTATATTTGTCTGTGGGAGTTGACCCATTTTAGTTAAAATACTTGAAACACAGAGAAAATGAACAGTGATTAATGCACTTTCACCAAGAGCATGTTCTTGTTATGGTCTTGTGGAGTACTGGAGATTTACAGAACACAGTGTGTAACCTCTAGGCTAGATGCTCATAGTTGTGAGCTTTTTGCATTTCTGAGCCATAGTTCAGCCTGTTGTTGGATATGGTAATCTTTTATTATGGAACTGCTTGTTCATTTGCTGAACAGATGTGACCTATGTAGTTGAGAGAGACTGTCTGAAGTGGAAGCCTTGCCTCAGTTATTGTAAGAAGCATATGCAAAGAATAGTAAAAGAGGCAAGGTACACCCATAAAACTGCTGAATTCTGCTGTGGAGGAATTAATTCAATCCATGCGTCTGCCACAATGGTTTTTTTGTGAGATGACAGTGATGGACAAGTCACTTCAAGAAGAATTTGGTCAGGAGACTGCTTAGCACATGGGAAGTCGGTGGGAGTTGTTCTTAAATATCTAAAGTGTAATGAAAATGCCAAGCACTATGAAGTAACAGGTCCAAGCTATCACAAGCTTGGCAGCCAGAACTGGAGTTATTAACCAGTATGTTTTCTCGTCAGCTGCTTCACAAATAACCATTGTCTTAAAGTTAACAGATTATCATTTTTTCCTTGAAAAGTGAATGCCCCTTTTGAGGGTAGGACAGAATATATTCTAGTAAATGATTCATGGATTGACCGATGCTTATTGTAATAAGTGACATCCCAATTTCCAGTAAGCTTTTCAGAGACTGCAGATTGATTTTAGCTCCTGGTTTGCAAGTAGGAGCTCACAGGTGGTGCAGAGCTGGTGAGGTGACCATCAAGAATCAATTGAAGCCAGCAGAGAGTGAGAGAAGAAAGATAACACTTGTTTGGATGGGGCTGGAGGACCAGGGAAGATACCAGTCACGGCTGAGTGAGGACTTGGAGCCTGAATGAGGAGGTCTAAAGATTAAAGGGGAACAGGAGGGGTAAAAAATTCAAGATTCATATCCCTAACCATTTCTTTCGTCTTCTTCTTCTTCTTTTTTTTTTTTTTTTAAATTTTCATTTGAAATTTAAGAACTGAAATAAGGAACGGTACTCAGAAAGTGAATGCTTCTGAAGACATTTCTTGCATGTCTGTGCCCACTTATAGGTGGAACAACGTATGCTGCTTTTCACCCGAGCTAGAGAAATCTCATGACTTCTGGGACACAAGCTCGAGATTGATGCCATGAGGTTTGTATTAACCATCACATAAGTGGAAGTCTCTGGAAGAGACTCCGGAGCTGGTAGTTTGGGGCATGTATCTGAAATGTTGGGAATTACCAGTTGTGGTGTGAACCAGGGAAAAACAGGATATGAAGTGTTGGTCATCAGCAGACCTTTTAAACATCAGGTCACTTCTCTGAGAATTTTCTAGAAAATGTTCAGAATATTCTTGGGTTTCTGAGACGGGAGGTTTAGGTTGGTTATTAGGAGGAAGTTTTTCACACAGAGGGTGGTGACACACTGGAACAGGTTGCCCAAGGAGGTTGTGGATGCCCCATCCCTGAAGTCATTTGAGCCCAGGCTGGATGTGGCTCTGGGCAGCCTGGTCTGGTGGTTGCTGACCCTGCACATAGCAGGGGGTTGAAACTGGATGATCATTGTGGTCCTTTTCAATCCAGGACATTCTATGATTCTGTGATTCTATGATTCTTCTGAACCATGTCAGTAAGACCTCTGAAATACTAACAAGTGCCACAAGGTGAGAAAATCATTCTTTCTATCTGGATCCATTCAGTGCAATTTGGGGTACAGGATCTTTCCATTATAACTGGCATCGCTTTGAAGTCATATCTGCTATAAAACTTCTGAATAGTTGCTGGATTTGACTGTGTTTGCAGAAATTGTTTAGTACATTGTAGCTATGTTCTGCTTCAATTTTTTTTTTTTTGGTCTATTTTTATGTGAGCTGCTGCTCTGTTTCTGATAGCGTTTGTATAGATTCTATCAAGGGAAACAAATGTCATGGGAAAGATTTAGGTAATTTTTTTGCTGTCTATGGTTTTTTTTTGTTGTTGTTTTTGTTTTTTTTCCCTGTAAGGCAGATGTTCCTATTTTAAACCTGGTAAAGGCGTTTCCATTTGAGACGATTATTCTCTGCTTTGTACACAGAACAGAGAGAACAGAAACACACCTTTCAAATTGGCTGAGGGAGCAATGTGCAGTATACCAATTGCTCTCTTTTCCACTATTGTGGAGGGTTAAGCATGTGTGTATAAGCTGCAAATGTACATTCTTCTATAGGATGAGCAGGCTGCCCATGTGGTTGCACAGGAGTGGCTGTGGGAATGACATGAAACAGGCTGTAGATACTCCTTTGGTGGAGACTCAGTGATCTTGATGTTTTACACACATGGGGCCTGATGCAGAGACAGTAAAACCCAGGAGGACTTTCCCCATCAGCCTCATAGAATTGAATTCAGCTTCAGGTGCATTTGTGGATGTATATGAAGTATACAGCTGGGATTTGGCTGGGAGAACAGTTGTCTGTGAGAGTAGAAAGGGAATTTTTTTCACTGCTCTGGGGTGGTAAGTGAACTTTATCTAGCACCTTCCACTTGCATGTAGCCAGCCTGCTCAAGTTCATGGAATCATAGCATGTTCTATACTGATTCTGCCCTCGGACTGTAAAGAACAAGATAATAACTTTATTTTATGTACTAGAGAGCTAAATTATTTTAAAAGTCTTAGTTTAACAGGCAAAGATGAATTTATTTGCCAAAGAGGTTCAGAAGCAGCTTGGGAAACTGTCAGAACCCAGCTTTAACTGCTTAACTGGTGGCAGTTGTACTTAATAGCTCTCAGGCATGCTTGTAGTACAAGGGAGACTGGCACAAAATGTAGGATGTATGGGATTTTTCTCCAAACAACAGCAAATGCACTCAACACACAAATCGTATAGTTGAATAAGAAGAAAACCTGCATCTGCTGCACTTGCATGTTGCATCCCTTATTGGCTCTGCTCCTGTACTTGGGATAAGAAAGAACCTTGCTCGTTTCACTCTTTGTTTTGTCCAGCTCTATTAACTTAGCGCACTGCTGAACATTACCTTTGCTCTGCTTGCACTGCTGGCCTTTGCTGTCCTTTTCCCACCTAGATATCTTCATGCTTTCCTGTATCCTAACCCTCACATATGGAACAAAATCTGGAAAATTCTCTCCATCTGCTCTTCTTCAAATCACTCTGTGAGATGCACTTCGACCCTGATGCCTGTGGGGCACTGCTGATAATGGCCAGAGTGCAAGTTAAATTGTTTTCTAGCCAGCCAATGTGAAAACATGGTCATGTTATTTCTGCTGTGGTTTTCATATCAACCCCTTTCCTGCCAGGGAGGACAAATCCGTAATGCCTTTTTAGTAATGGCCAACTGTCTTTGGAAGCTGACACAGATAAGAACAGCTCTCAGCCCACTAGTTGTTACCTTCTTTCTCCTTGAGTCACGACTCCTCCAGTTCGCTTTTAGCCACCATATTCTTTTTGTTCTCCTTGACTTCTGTACATCTGTGAATGTGGCTCTCTGGCCTCACCAAGGGACTCTGTCAGCATCTACCCTTTCAGAATATGTTAACAGGTCTTGGCTCCAACCAGCAAAGGTCATTTTTTGGGGACTGGCTTTCTTGCATATACAGCCACTGATCTTAACCCTTTACGGAGTGACAAAAAGACTTCCTTCCCATTTGCTCTTACTCACCTGACTGTGTTTGGAAGGGGCGGGCATCTTAGCTAATCAGAGCTTCAGTCAGGCAATTCCTCAAATTGTTTTAGGGTTTTTAATTAAAACTGTAGGCTTCAGCATCAGGTGGCAGAGAGCCAGAAGCAGTCATCTGACAATAGCATTCACCATCTACCAACAATAAGGGAATTCCTAAGCGCACGCCTGGGAGGATTCTGAAATGCTGTGAACGACTGAGATCGGTGTTTGCAAAGCACCCTGCAACATTTGGCCTTGCATGTCTGCCGATTTTTACATTATATAAACAAAACGCTATAATCTCCACATAGCACAAGGATACTGACTTCTGTTTATACTGTCCAGAGCACAGATGCTGAGCATGAATGCATGAGCAGTCCTTTTGTATGGTGTTTGACACTTTCTGTGGCTGTCTGCGCTGTTTTTTAATATACAGAATCCCCGGTTCTCCGCTGCCTTGCACCCTGTCTATTCATTCTCACCCCTGTGAAGTGAGGGTAAAACACTATCAAAACAAAATGGTACCACTTTGCATGTTTTCCACTCAGTTTGTACAGGTGTAAATGAGTACAGAGAGAACAGGGCAGAGCAGAACCTGACCTGCAGTCTGTCTCTCCATGCGTCAGGGGTCTTGAAGTGGGGTATGACAGAACAAACACAAGCTGTTACCTTGCCAGTTTTGCTTTTTTGTTTGCTTTTTGTTGTTGTCGTTGTTTTAAAGTCAAGCAGCTTGCAGGGATGACAGATGCAAAAGTCAGTCAGTACTTAGTTCCTGTAGTCCTCACGTGATGTCTTCTCATAGAGTAATGAAAGTGTTACCCGTGGCAGAGGTAGATGTGCGTGATTACTGGTATGGGAGCATGGTTGTCAATGTGAGGAAGCTCTGAGTAGTTTGGCTGTTGCAGAGAGAGAAAAATCCTTACATTACCTTAGCTTTTATAAATTATTATAAAGGAGGCTGAACTCTCCAAGCTGGGTCCTGGAAAACAGTGGCGCTCAGTTTTTAAATTTAATTCTTATTCTTTTTGTCCTTAAAGCAGCAGAAGGCTATACCCATCCTAAATCATTTTAAATTGTCTTCTGATACTGCTTAACGCATCTCTGCAGGCACGCACTTGAGCTTTCTTCCAAAAGAAATGGTGGCTCCTTTCTGTGCTCTCTACACAAAGCCCAGCTCTCTGGCACTTGCCCTACTTTCCTGAGCATCCAAGACCATCCAAGCCCTAGTCTTTGTTTTTACCCAGACACAGGATTTATTTATGACACATAGATATCATTATCACTCCTTTGCTGGATGTTTTTCGTAAATACAGATCCTGCCTATTCCTCGGCCCCAGTCTTCCCTAAACCTTCTCTTTGTTTGTCTGATATTTTCACTTCCAGAAATCCTGTCCAGCTACAGCTCTCCAAATCCTTCAGCTCACACCATTACCTGCTGTAAATGCTGGTTTGGGGCTGACTGCCTGCTTGTAGAGGAGCAGCATACTGCCTTAATGGTTCCGGCAGGTAGGAAGGAGGTGAATCTTTGAGAAGGGCCTTGACTCTGCAGTGCCTTGTGTAATCAGTGGGTTAGCATTGCACTGTGCCCTACTTCTGATAAAACATGAAGGTGTTGTACAGTGCTGTTTTCAAATGTTGTCTCTGGAAGGCAGGATAAGAAAGTCAGCAGACATGGTGGCTGCAGAATGGAAAGTGATATACATATAATGAGCTTTGCTATTAATGCAACAAAAAATGATGTTGAATTGCACCATGAATATCCTTCCAAGAAAAGAATGTATCAAAGCTTTATACAGATTAATGCTGGCAAGATCTGAATTGAACAAATATTACATAGTTCAGAGGCTGTTGTACTATGTAGGAAGAATGGTCCAGAACAGTAAGTATTTTTTCTTATCTTCAATTGCAATCTCAACCTTACCACTGCATTAACATAGGCACCCATTTTTAGAAATGATGTGTATTTTCGTGACTCATTTGAGTGCTCTGTAATTATTTGTATGCAAATGTGATGTATTAAATATTCTCACAGTCTCACACTTTCCCCTCCCATTGGAGTGCATACACAGTTAGGAGTGGTGGTGTTCCTTCACCTTTCCTAAACTGTCTTGTGCCTGGTTTCTGGTAATATCTGAAGAAATACTTACGTATGTAATTTCAGAGCTGCTTTAAAGTGGTAGGACAAAAAAGCCCAACCCTTTATATCAAAAAGCATTTTTACAATAATGCTACATTTTCGTATCTAAATTTGAGAGGTCTCAAAAAGGCTAAAAATTTTCTTCAGCTTTGAGGGAAAAAATAAATGCTGGCCTGAGAACAAACATGTGGAAATTCAGCTAACAGGTAATGTATCCATCGATGCACGTGTAGGCTTAAAATGAAATTGCCATCTCAACCATGGCTAAAAAAGAAACCCACAGATGATGAATAAATATATATTGGCTAGAATAAACACAAAATGCAATGCCAGATGTGGACAGTGCAGAATGCAGAAAGGCAGTAAGGTAAGTAAACATCAATTTACTTACCTTAGGCAGGATTAGCCTTAGTTAAGAAGTGGCAATTCTAGTGAGAAACAGAACTGGAAATCTCTTTTACTGAAACCAGTTGAGGTATCATTGTAGCTAGAAGGAAATCTGCCTGGTCTGTCACTACTGTACAGTTTGAGGTTTTTCAGCAGCAACTTGCTGCCCAAAACATGCAGTTCCAAGTCTGCCTTTGCTTCAGAATATTTCTGGCAGAGTTGTAGGCTTTACAGCCCAACAAATTTTGTTTGCAGCTTTTGTCTTGTTTTTCAGAATGCACCTTTTTACTCCCATTAAGCACCCATAAGATCTTCTGCAGGAATACCTCCTGCAATGCTATCACAACATATCTCTGTCAGTCAATATTGTGGTGTCTCTCAAAGTTCAAATGACTCCAGTGGATTTTTCCAGAATTATTTGTTCAGCAGCAATGCTTTTGGAGTTCCTGTGGAACTTTATGCAGATTTGATGACCCTGTATGTTTTTGTGCTTCTCGAAGTATTTAGGCTTTCCAGGTTTCTCTTAAGAAGTTTTTTCTAGGCCATTTCTTTCTAAAACAATGAAAATATAAAGCAACTATAAAGGTTAATTGTACATTGGAACTCACAAAAGCTATGGTGGCTCTTCTGCTGTCTCTCAGAGGTCTACTGTGTCCCACAAAATTTATTTTAAAAGGTGCCCCCTAACATCATATGTTTGCTTGCAGCTTTACTACAAGTAAGGGTAGAATTCACCTTACAGATTAAGACAACAGTGTATAGAGGCTTATAAGTTTTAGATTTAGTTGCCAACATACAGAAGTCCAGCACTATCTGAGGTGTTCCAGTCTTGCATCTGGCCTTCAGCTGCTGCTCCCTGTTGGTCAAGAAGTCCATAGATGGTGTGCCATTCTTACCAGCCTGCATTAGGTGTTTTGGATACCTAATTACCTCCCAAATGACAGTGATTGTAGTCATCAGACATATAATCGGTCCTCTCAGTGAGTCTCAGGGAATGTCCAACCAATGCCTTAACGTGCATGGCTGCCTCTGGCTTATTTGAATGGCTTTGTAGCCTTTCACCACTAACTCATAAATTGACACCTACAGATACACGCTAATATTATTTCTCATATTCAAGGGGATAAATTGCACTCTAGATGTCATGTGTTTGTTATTTCTGGAATGGCCTGTGCTACCAATACAGGAAAAAAATGCTGGATTGAACTGGAGATCCATTATATTGGTCTGCAGACAGAAGATAGCACACCCAAGCGCACATTCACTCACGTGCTGTGTGATACCCCAGTGGTTTTCAGACATTCTGCTGATTTGGAACACTTTCTCTGTTTTCTTCTTCAGAGCTTGCCATCTCTTCTAAGGAGCCCAGGCACAAGTCTCTGCTGTGGTTGCAGTTAAGGTGGCTAAGTAGCTAAATGGCAATGAACTCAAGTATCCTTTTGTTGACACACCTCTGACTGTGAGCTGATCAGTTGTAGGGCAGCTGAGATTTCTGTGCTGATATAAAGTTAAGCAAGCTGTAAAAGATGTATGTAAACAAACTGGAAAGAAGAGAAAGCAGAAGCTAGGTACCCTATCTGGCTACAAGGTCTCCTGAACATTGAAGTATAAGGTCTTATAAAGGAAGCACTCCCTCTTCTATTAATGACAGCATCATTAGCAGTGCAGATATATAGATCTCTTAAATTAATAGTGCAACAGATTGTTCCTGCTGCACTTAAGAAGCAGTTCAATGTAACAACCACAAGCTAAAATATTACCAAGCTTGTGAACTTCAAAGCAAACTTTCCTTCTTTTTAAAGAGTTTTAAAAAACAGCTGAGCATATTTTCTCCTACCTCATCTTTAAAGAAATTACAAAAGAATGTATACAGGAGGCCTGAAGTTCCTGCCAGTCCTTCATCTTGGTTTTGTTGGCATATTGGCAGGGAATCTGGACACTGAAATTTACTCTTAATGAGGACCTTGTTTTACGGATGTGTTCTTGTTCTGTGTGGTAATGCTTATCTGAACTGCTTGTTCTCTTATGGAGGGCCAAAAAAGATACCTTGAAGATAAACACTGAAGTAACGAGTCAAAATGCTTACTTATTTATTAAGTTTGGGAGGAATGGCTGGTCATTAAGTTGAATTTATTGATTTATGTATTGGTTGATTTTAAGTGTACAGTATATCTGCAATCTTTTCAAGGATTGGTCAACTAAGAGAAAAAAAGTGTGCTTTCTTTGGCTTGTGATGGATTGAACACAGAGGCAGCAAATATTAGGTAGGAGTTGATCAATGCAAAAGAAAGCTGCAGATAGTAGTTTGAATGGAAACAATGATTTAGCTGAAGTGTACCTGAACAGGAACTTGAGGTGGAAAGCAAGAATGTGAAGAAGTGGCAAGGACAGCAACTGTGCAGTGGAGCAAATGAAGAGAACCTGAAAACACCTATAAATGAAAAAAAAAGCACCGAAGTAAGTAGCAACCAGCAATAGCCAAGAAGGATTAAAGCAAGTGAGAGAAAGCCCAGAAATGCAGAAATGCATTGTTCTTACTGTTGATTGCTAAGAATCATTAAGTGACTGTCACTGAATGCTGGATTAAAAGCAAGGGAGATGAAAAGTCAGAGGCTCTTTGATGGGAGAGAGAAATGATGTGTCTGCCCCTTGAAAGTCACAGGCAGGGTTTCTATTGGTTTTATCAGAGCAGAATTGGACTCTCTTTGAGCTGAGCTGATGAAAAATAAATGCTTTTATTTTGCAGTCCTACATTTATATGCAATTCATATGTTGTCTTACATTCCATAGGTGGAGTGTTTATCCTCAGGAAAATTTTCAGGACTGAGAGCCCTGCAGTATCTTTCCTTGCTTTTTCACTGGTAGCAGAGAATGTCAGCTCCTCAGTACTTCTGTGCCTCAAACCTCCAGACACTGGTAGCTAGGAAATGTTGTAGCCTCTGTGTCTGGTAGCTTGTGTCCTTTTCTGAGGGACTAATAGAGCTGTCATTCGTGTTGGAGATTTTTCTCCCAGCTCATTTGTAAAACTGGAATTAACTGAGTAACTTGCTGACCAAATAGCTGAGTAGATGTAGGAGGCAGGCTGACAGCAGACTCAGTTTCAGCCAATCTGTGATTCCCTGAGCAAGGTGTCTGATTCCTTTATAAACTTCTGTGGGTCTGATTCCAAACAGAATTATCTTTCCGTTTGTTTTCATTCAATACAAATCTGGTAAGTGTGGTTGACTGAAGAGCAAGGCGTCTCTCACTTTTTGAGGAGAGGAGAAAGGGAATATTTTCCTGTGTCATGTAGTGTCACTGAATCAAACAGCCCTAAGTAATGCTCTAAGTAATTGCAGTGAAAGCACTATTAGGTACGGGAATGCCAGGAGATCTGTAGTCCTGGTTTCTGCCGGCAAGTATGAGTCCGGTTGGCTGAAGAGCCAATGTCACCTTTAGTTCCTCCTCACTCTGCATTAGAGCAGCTGCATGCAAGAACTGCTGAGCTGCTCTGACCGAGGAATGAACACCATGCAGATGCGGTGCCAGCGTCCCATTCCAAACAAACAAGTCTTTTCCCTTCATCAGCATTGCTATGTGCAAACAACATCTTTGAGGGTTTATAGCTTTGTGGCAGACGGGATGCTCCGCTGCAATCTCAAGATAATAGGTGTAGTAACTTTGTAAATACTTTGTATGAGCTGTTCGCTGAGGACAATGTTTGTATACTGAGTTAAAAGACTTTCTAGCATGATTGCATTGTTCCTAATAGTAGCCTATAGGAACAAGCAAGGGGGGAGATGCATAACACCTGGATAATAGATAAACAATCTCTTTGCAAATATTGGAGAAGCAATTGAAACACAATGCCATATATCTATCCCCCAGGCTGTATTTAAATAGCCTGAGCTGAGAATAAAGAGGTCTAAAGTGCCTTGAATAGATAAAAAGCTCTTTCGAAGAAAGGATGCAATCAGTTGCCAGTAGGTGTTCCAAACACAAGAGAACACCCAGTTTCCTTTGCATCTGTTTCTTTCGCGTCTGTCCTCTCTCAGCAAGAGCATCTTCTCCACAACCACTGGCAACTTCTCTGCTCTCCCACCCCCGTGCTGCTCTCCCAGTCAGCAGCCCAGCTCTGTCAGCAGCTGGGTGTTTGAACCGCTTGGAAATCCTCCTGCCTGCACAAGAACAGCCACAATGTGCTGCAGAGGTGGCGTGTGTGATTTCTTGGGAACAGTGGTTGCATTTCCTTTTCGTAACTGTGGTGCCAATGGGCACGTGGAAAACCTTGGTAGAAACCATCCCTTTGGTGTGTGAGGCTGCCACAGCAGGGCTTACTGACAGGGACTTGAAACTTGTCTCCACTTTACTCTCAGTTCCACATTTTTGCTGCAGCAGTTGTGTGGAGGCCCAGAATCACTTCACAGGATGAGGTCTCTTGCAGTGTTTTGTCTGAATTCAGAGGGACCAGAGAGGCCCCTAGGTAGGATGGTATTTGTCTTTGCTCAATATGTCTTGCTCGAACAGTTAGCATTGTGTTAAGTGGTAGAAACTTTAGTTAGCTTGAAAGCTAAAGCACAGACAAATGGAGTGGGCTGATTCTAACTGACTCAGCAGCTGTTTTTCATGGATAGGTAAAACAAAGTCTTTGTGGGCAGGGTATTCTTTTGCATAATCTGCTATAGAAGTTCCAGATGTTTTTTCTTTGCAGTGTTTCTTTGCAGATGTTATTTTTTTCTTTCCTTTCCTCCTATTTCTATACAAAGAAAGATTTTTCCCAAATTGTTCTGAGCATTTTAAAGCCATTGTACATACTCATCAAATACTCCTTTTTTTTCTTTATTTTTTCTTTGCATCATGAGACTGTTGTCATGCGTCCTAGAACCTGTTTGGATACATCCAGAGTCATGTTTCTGAATAACTCTAATAGTGGAGATGTGACTGTGCCTTACCGCTGTCTATATAGTATAGAAGGAATAGCCTCAGACTTGGATCTTAGTATCCTTAAACATAAGGATATGTAAGGGTTAAAGATGTCAGGATTAAAACCGTGCCTGTTTGGCTGTTCCCACTAATAATAGATACTTCTTCATTTATTCACTTTTGAAAGCATTTGTATTCTACAAGTATTTTTTGTTGCTCCTTTTACAAACAAATAGGAAATACATCTGGAGAATCATGATAGTGCACCTTTCCACACCAACCACAGTAAAGGATACTTTTCCCTAGGAACTGAACCAGCACAGATATGGTCACCTGCCTATACTGCAGCATTTAGTTAGAGATATGAGTGTATGTGAACGGTCTGTGGTCCTACATCTCCCAAGGCATTGTCTCAGATTTGGGCCATGCCCATAAGATATCCATAGATTGATGTTCCTTAGTAAAGCATGTCTTCTCTTACTGGAGACACTATTAAATATTTGTGTTGGATAAGGGTAAGAAATGTCACGCTTTCTGTTCCCAAGCTCTTCCTGATGGCCTGCTTCTGGACTCTTTTTCCATCACATTACCTCCATTTTTATGATGTTGCTGATGCAGTTTCCCTCCACAGCTGTCTGTGGCACCAAGTTGTAGAATGTTGGTAATTTCTGTGTTGGGTACTTTTACATGTTTTAAATCAGTCTATCTCATTCGAGTTTAATTGTGTTACCCTTAATCCTAGTGTTGTGAAATTTGTTGAAGAGGTCTGCTTTACAGCTTTTACACCACATTTGTGATTCTATAAACCCTGCTCAGATTCCGTTTCTCAGCTACCTCTCCTTCAAATTGGAGCCCTAATTATTTTTAGTCTTTCATTCCTTCCTAGAGCAACCACACAATCACTTTGTTTAATTTGCCTTTCTCGGTACATGCTATATTTCTCTTATATCTGTCCTGGGATGTAGGGACCAGAACTGTGAACAGTAGTCAAAATCTGACACATTTTCTCTAAGAAGAGCTTTTATTCACTTGCCCCATAAATGCCCATCACTCTGATCATGATGTGTCTGTCAGCCATACTGCTTCCCTCTAAGTTGACATGTTGGATTGCTGTTATTCTAGGGTGCTGGAGGGGAATCGTGTGCCGTATCTTCCTGGTTTCCAATCCAAGGTGCCAAAGTCTACTGGGGCACAGAGTTGACTAGCATAAAATGATTCATGCAGACCAGAAGTGGAATGCACATTGATCAGAAGTTGAATATGTGCTGACAAACCACCTCAAAAAAAAAAAAACACAGAAAGTAAGTGACCAATCTCTTTAGTTGCTATGTGCCTAACCTTAGATATATGCATCTATAAAGATACCTGCTTTTGTACTTCGTGAGGTATTTATTAAAATAGTGTATTACTCTGAGAAAGCTTTAGTTTTCTAATGAAGGCACATATCACAACAGTACCTACATATTCATTGCAGATAGCATATTAAAAATCCAAACCTACTCATATTTGTTCTTTAACTTCACAGATATTGAACCATGGCCATTAAAGTTGAGGTCCGTACACCTATGGACTGAAGGAAACTTTCAAGATAGTTTCAAGATAGTTGTAAGTTGTAACAGTCTCCTTTCAGCAATTATTTATACTGATGGACTTAGCATTTTGTTGTTAAACATTTTGTCATCCTGGGATATTCCTAAAAACATATTCTAATAAAAAAACTGAAAAATTGAAGTTCACCTTGTATGTACTACTCTGGACAGCTCTATCTGGAGAAAAATAAATACAGCAGATATAAATTAAAAGGCAAGGGGGCAAAATGATCTGAGCTGGAAAGAGAAGAGTGCAAGTTTATTTTATTTCCTCGGTTGTGTAGGAGTCTTGTTAACCAGTATGTAATGCATAGTCATGTAATAAAACATGCTAGACATTAAAAGGCAAAAACCCAGTTCACAGATGTTGTAACGTTATGAGATAATTTTAGGGAGTGAATGGGGTGAAAAGGCTGGATTTGTTAGAGAGGAAAATACCTATGGAGGCCTTTTCTGTGAGCAATACCATGACTTCATTACCATGTCAATTCTGGGAAAAGGCTCTGATTTAACACAGCAGTTGGCTGGATCCATATGGAGCTGATGAACCTCTGAATGAATAGTGAATGGAAAAACTGCTGGAATCTGCCTTCAGCTTTGTTCCCAGGATGACCAATGTAAAAGGCCTAAGAGCAATACTGCACAGATGGTGTAAAGAGGTAAGAAATCTGCAGGGTTTAGTTTACTTTTTCTTATCCTACATTATTTGGGGTTTTATTTTGTTTTTAGACGTATTTCAGTTTCTCCTGCTCTATTTGTTTAAATGTCTTTACTTACAAAAAATGTAAAAAAAACCCATAACAGAACAGCTTTTGGGAAATGAAATCTATAAGTGTATGTAGCACTGAACATTTACATAAAAATACAATCTAAAACATTGAATTTTGTATGGTATAGAAGTAATTGAAAGCATAATTACAAAATAGTGAAAAGGGCTAGTTAAAATTTAACAAAGAACTTTGGAATTACTTCTTCAATTCACCCTATGTTGTGGGAATATGCAGATGTTCACATTTACACAGTCATGTATGTCCACTAGGGTTACATGCTTTTATAGTCTGAAGCATCCTCACAAGTGCCAATACAGTAAATCAAAAGACTCTCTGGCATTATCTAGTTTCCTTTCTGGCTTTAAAAGTTAGAACAGATGTCACAAGAGAGGACAAAATGGATTTTACCCACCGAGAGGAGCTTTTCTTGCCATCATTAATAGGAGGCTCCTTGAAATGCTAATGTACACAGTTTGTGTTGCCGGGTTTGCATAGAGATGGTGGGAAACAGCTCTGATCCCAACAAAACCTTTTGTTATTAATCAAGAAAATCTGCTCTTCTGAAACAGCAAAGCACTGAAATGGTGTGGCTACTTGCAATGCAGAGATCTCTATAGCAATCTCCAATGAACAAAAATGTAATAAAAACTGTTCTACGAGATACGGCACATGTAGCAATTTATTTTCAGTGATTTTGCATACAAACTTTCTACTTCCCTTTGTCATTTCAGCACGGATATTTACAGTTGAAAGAATATACTGTTTTGCTATTTCTTCTGAATCTCCACTCTTTAAAATGTTTCATTTCATAGTAAATCTAAAAACAAGCTTGGCTCAAAAAGAACTTTGAAAAGCAAGCTTTTTCTTCAGGAGAAAAAATGTATAATGGAGCGTGAGTTTCTGTTTGATTTGCTGCTAATACCGTGTAAGATATTTTTACTTCATTGGAATATAGGATTATGAGATCTTGTGAGCCCTTTATCAGTACAAACGTCCTGTGCAATATTAGGGCTAGTGTGTTCCAGCTTTTCTAAATAGGACTTGGTAATTTTTAGTAACCTTTACAAGGAGCGGTTCAGACCTTGGCATTGCATAGTGACATATGACCTCCTATTTTTAAGTAATACCTACACAATTAAATCTGCTGTCAGCATTCATTGCCTTGCTTAGGATGCCTCAGCAGAAGCCTTCTTTCCCGAAAGTATGAATTGCAGCCAAAAATTCAGGGAAAGCCTGAATTAAGATGTAAATTCTTCGCCTAGCATTACTCATCACTGGAATCTCTGGCCCAGTGTCTGATCAGAGCTACATTAAATTCCCTATCAATTTATTGTGCACCAGTTCCACAGCACACCGATGTGTCCTTTCACCGATTCATTGTGCTGAGACCTCAATATACAGGCATAGGAGAATGAACTGGGGATGCTTTTAATTTCCTCGCCTCTGTGGATCTAGAGCATAGATTATCGTGGTTTAGTTTTCATTGTGTTTTTAATGGTGGTATTAAACAGGTAGTAGAAATAAATAAAAATAACTTATGATTCGTGCAAGTTGTTTGAGATGGCCGTTGAATTGTTATGGGACAATACGGCCTCTGCCATAAATTTTAAGAGGAAGCGTTTATTTGTTCATAGATCTGCCTGGTAAAGACAGCAGGAAAGAAAAGAGTGGGATAAGTTGGGCTGGGGAGTTCATGTGAGAAAAGCTGCTGAAAGATCAGTGATTCCATCACCGAGGAGCTGTTTCACGGGTAAGAAATACTGTAACAGGCAAGCAGGGAGAAACAAAGCTGTAAGAAAACTTTGAAGTCGAAGTGCCTTTGGCATCATAAGAGGTGATAGGTGAAGCGACCAAGCCTATCTCCAGATACTTCCTGCGGAAGGATTATCCATTCTTTTAAGCTTCCATGTGTAGAATTTTCCCCAGTCCCCTTTTTCCTTTCAACTTCACAGCTACGCTTTCGACTTCATGGCAGCAGCCCGTCACAGGGATGCAGTGCCTGCTCCCGCTGCCACCGGGCCTCCACCACCTCTGCTGCTAAGCAAAGCACCTCGCTTCCCCTGCGGGTGAGGCCAGATTAACTTGCATGAGGCTGTGCTGGAAATCCCGGCTGGCATGGAGGGGGTACTGTTCATCCAAAATAACATGCAACAGCAACAAAAAGTCCTACAGAGCGTGCTTAGTAGGACCTGCTAGGGCTTTTGTCAGGGACTAATGACTTTGACCTCACTCTCCGATCCCTCAGCACAGAGATAAGGAAGAAGACTATTCTAGGGAAAAATCTTGATTAGGAGGGCTGAACCTTTCTCTGTCAACAAGATATCCTATAAACCCCTTGTTTTAAAAGCACTGACAAAGCAAAGCTGTGGAACACAAGAGTATTGAAGGTGTGCTGTCTGTCTGAGAACTTCTGTCTACCTACCCGTAAAGTTTCTGTGCTTGAGTCATATGTCTCCAAATGCCTCAAAATTTTGTAGAAGCAAAAATCTATACAGTTCAAACTGGCTGAAATCTGTAGCTCAGCTTATCTTGCTATACTGTGAGATAAATGATATTTAGGTAGTTTGAAATGCATCCGTGCAGCAATTTTTGGATAAACTGTGTTCTAAATCAATATAAGTTGTCTGTGTGGATGTTAGACCAGAGGATTTTTATCACGGATTAAATGTTAACTGGTTCACAGGTTCTTTATACTTCCCTGTATAATCCTTGCCAAATTTTGTTCTCACTTCCTCGGGTTCTAAGTAACTTCTCTGCATTTGAAGTGATTATTCTAAATTTGCACCGGTTTAACAGACCAAAATTTAGCTTTAAGGAGTGTGTTTATAAAGTCTGGGGATAAGATTCTGCAAGAGGTGAGTCCAGTTCAGGTATGAGCTCTTTCTGTACACTGCATTGTAGGGAAATCTTGTCAAGGGATTTATGTACTTGAAAAATGGGTGCAAACTGATATCAAATCAAAACTTTTCTCTTGTTCCTTTGATAACATTTTACAGCCAAGCTAAATAGGCAAGGTGCAAGAACAAAATATGCGAAGCACAGCTCCAAGCTGTAAGTGTTTATAAGGTCCAGTTCCTTTTTGTGGAGTTAAAATAATAATTTTACAAGTCAGGCTGCATATGTAAATTATCTAGGGATAGATCTTCCATAGGGTTTCTAAAATGAAGTCAATATTTATGATATGAGGGCCTTTGAGCTTTAGAAAACCGTAAATGGGCAAGCAGCAAAAAAGGTCAATCTTTTTGTGTCTTTAAATCAGTCTCCAAATTACTTTGAGTCTTGCAGTATTTCTGCTTTTTCTGTGTTTTTTTTTTTCTTTAAACTTCCATAGTCAGGTAGCACCCTGCAAACTGCATTGAATCCAACACCTAAGATAGCCTTATAAACCCTGCGGACATTAAACTACTGGAAAACAGATTGGGTTGGTAAAAATAAGTGTGCATGTTCTCACAGAACCTGAGAAAATCACACCTTCGCTTTGTTAAAAAAAAATCTGTTTGTGCCACTCCAGTAATCACTTCATAACTGGTGGGAGAGCAGAACATATGTCTCAGAAGTTGTAGAATATAAAAGCTTCTACCTAGAATCCGATTTCCTTTAAGAGAAAAAAACAAAACAAAACAACAAAAACCACCACCAACAAAAATCAAAAACAGAAAGACCAGTCTTTTCAGAATGTCATTTGTAAAACTGGTGCCAAGGGCTTTCTGCTTAAAAATCACAAATGCAATGCAAATTGCTCAGGAAAGCAAAATGAAACAGGTGTTTGGTTTCTTTTAAAATTTGTTTAACATTATTATTATCATTATTACTATTATTATTATTAAAGGAGGTGTAGGATCACACACTATTATTTTTATTATTATTAAAGGAGGTGTAGGATCACTAAAATGCTTTGCTGAAGCAGGACAAGAGGATACAAAAGGTAGCCCCATCCTGGCCTCCTCACTCCAGCCATCTCTTTGCCCACGGGCAAATTTTATGAGATGCATTAGCATCGCTGCAGAAATGTGCTGACTGACCCCTGGTCTCAGAAACGGGGAGCTCCCTCAAACTGAAATACTGAGACTTATTCCTGATGCAGGTTGCTTGTGGGAATTGTAAAGATTCTTCTTGGTCCAGTCCTAGCAAGGTATCCTGGTTAGACTGAACACGCCTGCATCTGCAGCCTTTTGGAAGAAATGCAATTTAAAAGCAATACAAATACAAACTATACTTCAGTGGAGCTCTTTTTACTCTGCTTGCTGAATGTAGAAGGCTGCAGCAGCTGTCCCAATTCCCAAACTGTTATTCCTGAAATGTGTCGGTACCGTACCTAGCAGTAGGTAGTTATGCTGGCCTGCTTCCTGCTTAG